AAATCTGCGGGGAACTATGTAAAAAACGCATCTTCGCACCGGCATTCGGTGCGCTGGCCAATTGTTTGTCTGTCTGTGTGTATGTGTTTGCTGGCTAGTTCCGGGCAGTGAAGAAGGGCATTACTCGGGCCTTCAGTTGATCGTGACATTTTGCAGGCGCTGCGAGCAGTTCATCGTGTTTTAAGGAATGCTGCTATCTCTGTTCATCGTGCAGCTGCTCATCGGTTTCGTTGAGTGCGACGACTTTTATAGTCTGCTGGGAGTAGCACGAGATGCGGATAACAGGGCAATTCGGCGAGCCTTTAAGAAACTGGCACTTACCAAACATCCCGACAAGAATCCTGTAAGTTCCTAATAAGTGAGCTATACGCAGAGTGAATTTTTGTATGTTTTACCGTGGATCCTAAAACTGCATAGGAATCCTCTGAGGAGTTCGTGGTGAGAGTTCTTTTAAGTTCTTTGGAGAAATTCTTTAAGTTCTTTGGAAGGACTAGGAGGTTAAGACATGTTTTCGAAATTGCCCATCGTTTTTGCCCCCTCAGCGTATCTCTGCACTTCAGGATGATAAAAATGCTCATAAAGAATTCGTAAAACTGAATCGAGCATACGAAGTACTGATGGATGAGGAATTGAGGAAGAAATACGACCAGTTCGGCGAGGCAGGCCTCAGCGATGATTTTCATGGAGGCGCTCAGTATCAGTCGTGGCAGTTTTACAGGGATAATTTTGGTACTTCTTTACACTTCTGCTTCTACGCCCCACCTTACCATTTGCTTTTGCATCTTGAAAAGCAAACATGTTGCAAGTTTGATCAAACTTTGGTGCTTTCTGTCCCTCGTTCTACGGATTATGGAGATTTTAGGCATCTACGATGAGGACAAGGAAATTGTGACGTTTTCGCGGTCGGATTTCGAGAAGGTCGTCTCGGAGAGTGCTGAGACGTGGTTCATCAATTTCTACTCGACATTCTGCTCGCACTGTCATCAGCTTGCGCCAGTTGTCAGTTTTCCTCACACCACTACTGCTCTGTATTTCTAGTGATCATCATCAATTCACCAAATGTCCCTGAATCACTTCACATAACAGTCAAAGAGTTTTCCTTCTAATCGGCCTGTTTTGCCTGAATTTCTTTGCAGTGACCCAGTTTATCCCTCACAAATCAAA